CATCCTCCGCCGGGCGCTCGCGCACCGGCGCCCGCCCAGCCTTGTGCGCTGCTGTCCGCGCCGCCCGCTCCGCACAGCTCTCCCGGGTCGTCGCCGCGCGCCAAGTCACAGCCCTAGAGACTGAGCTGCAGTCACCGCTGCCGGCGGCCCCTTTACTGCTGCGGCCCCTCCGGCCATCTTCGTTCCTCCGCGCAGCCGGCCGGTTGGGCGGGGCGTACGCAGGCTCCGCCCCCTTCCGAGCGGCTCCTCCCCGCTAGCTGCTCCTCCTTTGGTCTCCCGCGGAGGCTCCGCCTTGCCCTCGCCTGGCGCTTCTCCCCTGGCCCCGCCTCCCTTTCCCAGCCGCGTCCTTCGGGTCCACCTCCACGCTCCCGCGGCGGCTCCTCCTTGGTTCGCGGCTCCTCGGCCCCACTCCCTGCCCCCGGCAGCTCCTCCTCTGCCAGCCCTGGAGCTCGACGCGCTCCGCCCTCTTCCCACCCTCGCCGCCACCTCCGGAGCCCTGGGAAACCACACCGGGGCCAGAATGGGCGCCGCCACGTCAATCCGCCCCCGGGCCACCGCCGAGAGAAAAGAGGGTGCGGAGGCCTGCGCTCCACCCGGGCTGAGGGAGCTGCCGGCTTTTGGCAGATTCCTGGGGCCCGAACCATTCTCACTTCATCAGCTCCCAGGCCCTGGGCGCCTGGGGTCTTGGCCTCTGCGCACCTGGCGGGCGGAGGTTGCGCCATGAGGCTCCGGAACACAGGAGCTGACCTCCCCCCAGTTGCTAAAGACCCCGAGGGGAGGCCGCGGGAGCTTAGTGGCTGGAGGAACCAGCAGCGGTGAGGCAGGGAGTACACACCTGGAAGCGAGCAGCTGTGCTTGTGACCACTGTGCGTGGCTGCCTGGACAGCCCCAGAGAATTTACCTGGCGTCCCCACTCTACGCAGGCACTTTATAGCCCTCCCTCAGCTCTTTATCCAGCTTACAGAATCCAACAGTGTGAGCAGAGACCCAAGAAGGCTCAGGCTGGGCAGGAAGCTGGGTCAACTCCTCTAAAACCTGAAACCTAAATGGTAACTTCTGTTCTGCTCACACCTCAAAGAGGGGAAACGGAAGCCCCAGAGTTACAGCTAGATGGCTGTCTTGCTCCAAATCCCCAACTACTTAGTGATCCACACCCAGGGCTGCACGAAGTGATGCCAGGAAAAGCAGGAAAGTGACATTGTTTACAGCGATACAAAAAGACCTAGTAAAAGTCTAACTGATCCAAATCCGAACACGAAGGGGAAGAGACTGGAAAATACCCCGAAATGCGCACAGTAGTTTGCATTCCTTGGGTGGGATTCTTAAAAATTATTTACCCTCTAACTTGTTCTGTATAGCGGTGATCTTTTATAAAGGAAAGCTATTAGTACAAAAAAGAATGTAAAGATCCTGAAACTACCTGGAGTCTCCCAAGAGGGTCTTTCTTTCCTACCTTCCACTACAACACAGAAACGTCTTTGCTCCCCAAGAACCTACCCTTCCTTGAATGTTCTGTGTTAGAGATTCCATTACTTTGGTGCCTTGTGTGGAAAATGAATGATTATTAGGTGATCAAGGGAAGGGAAGAAGGACCATCAAAGCAAATGCAGTAGACCTTCTGTACCTGGCCGCTCCCCATTCATAGATTCAACCAACCGAGGAGAGGAAATGCCACGTTGCTGCTGGTGTGCACTATGAAGTTAAGCCTATGATGCTTGCTTCTGTGCTGAACAGGTATAGACTTTTTCTTGCCATTATTCCCTAAAGAGTAAAATGACAATTCTTTGCACAGCATTTGCACCATACCAGTTAGCATAAGCGAGGTACAGACCATTTAAAGTGTAGGGGAAGACTTCATAGATTATAACAAATTCAATGCTATTTATGTGAGAGACAGGAGCACCCGAGGAGTTTAGTATGGGGAGGATCCTGGAACCAATGCCGCATGGACACTGAAGGACAACTGTACTTTGTGATGTCATATGTGCCAAATAATGTCCCGAATATTTGGTGTACCCGCTCTGACATCTTCCCTGCTGCCACAGGGGCTTCCACTGTCTTCTTCCCACTCCCACAGGCACCTTTCCACCCAACATGGCCATTCCGAAGCTGCAGTTCCACTTTCCCCGGCACACTGTCATTTCACAATCTTACAAATCTGGATTCAAATCAGTCACTTGATACCGAAGAGAAAATGGCTTGTAGAAGAGAGGTGAAAAGAGAGAGAAAGCAAGTATTCCACACATGAACGGACACATCGAAGGCAAGGCAAGGTGAAAAAGAGCATCAGATAAACAGCAAGGGGCGGGGGAGCAGCATCCAATCAGGAGATCAAAGAGGCAAGCACTGACTAGCCTTCACTGGGGCAAGGAACCTTTTCTACCCAGTCGGACTGACTGCAAATATGGGCTGTGGAATGACCATGTGCTGACACTATGTTGGGTGTTGGGATGCCGCACACATCAGCATGGAATCTGTGCTTACCTCCTCCCCTTGGAGACTAAGCAAATATGTAGGTAATAATGATACAATGGAAACTTGTGCACAAAATGAAGCTAGGATGCCAATCTCAAGTTGAGGACTTGAGGGAGCCTTAAGGTATGGAGATTTGTTCTGGAAGATGGCTTGGATGGGAAAACTGAGTCTCAGGTCTTCAGATTCCTGAGTTCTGAGCTCTTACCTCCTATATACATTGAGCTTGTCACCAAATCCTTGTTGATTTCTGCAGCAAATGCTATAGCATGCAGATCAATTTGGCTGACGTAGGCTCCTCCCTCCAGAAGTTAATGAAGATGACCCTTTGATGACATGAGATATCTGAGAAGCCACACACACCCCAACTCCCCTCACGGACTAACTGCTGAGAAACAACCTGGCCACCTTGTCTTGACAAGACAAACTCTAGTGCCCTCCACATTCAGAGCTCCCCAGAGGATCAGGCTGAAGCTAGACTTCTCTAAAGTTTGGCTGGCCTCCTGTTCATATCCCCACAATCAGTCCCTCACATGAGAACACCATCTCAGCCACTGCTTTTAGGGACCTAGACCTAACATAGTTTCCTCTGTGCTTGCTCTTGTCTAAGTATCTAGTAAATACAAACTTAGTTCATCTAACATCTGTATTTCATTATTGCATCTGCACTTTAATAGAGGAGAAAGAAGGGTGACATGGTATGCCGATGAAGATACATTGGAGACTTTCCCAGAAAACGCTTAATCCATAAGTTCACCCACTGCTGACTAGACCACTCTGCCTGAAATTACAGAAGTGGGGCTCTTCCACTTGTCTTTCTAAAAGAAGCAGAACCAGAGAAGAAGAGGCCAGTCCTAGAGGTGACCAAGGCTTTTATTATCCCATTAGTCCTTATGATTTGTAATGCTTAGGCCAGGCATCTGTCAATTGTCCTTACAAAACAATGAAGGGAGTTGGAGGGGGGTTGGTAGCGGGACAAAGAAACTCTCCACTCCCCAGCTTTGCCATAAATTGTGAAGTCCTCTGTGTGTGTGTGTGTGTGTGTGTGTGTGTGTGTGTGTTTACTGTTTGAGAGAATAAGGCCTGTCTTTCTTGCAGTCAAGTGGGGCTATCCATGTAATACTATAAAACCACATGGACACACACAAGGGGAGAGGAGTCTCTAGTCTTATCTGAATGCACAATTATACATTCTTTATTTCCTCCGCACTAAAACCAACAGCCATGCCAGCAGCCAAAGTATGAGCACTGGTAGTGACCCATCCTCCTACCAAGATTCAGAGGACAAAAGAGCTCAGGAAAAATCCACTTAGCCATTGGGTAAAGGACATGCAAATACTTTTGTTCTGCTCCCTAAAGACCCTCTGGGAAATTCCCTTTCTGAAGTTGTTTAAATGCACTGATATAGAACTTGCAGAATACTGTCTTTAAAATGATTGTTAAAGAGTAAATCAAACAAGCAAGAATGGACATTGGAGCTTTTTACCCTATCATCTTCTGCCTTCTTTCTCTGACCTTCTTTCCAAAGCATAACCTTTATTTCAAGCAGAAGCAAAACTGGATCTATACATATGCAATATGTGAGGAGCTTCGAGAAAAGGAAAATCCATGAAGGCTGCAATCATCAAGTCTAAAATGAGAAAAATAAATACAGTATTGCTAAAGAAGTCTTGCCTACCTTGTATAAACAATCGAACGTTCTAGGAAGTGACATGTTGGATAATTCTACACATTGTGCTAAGAGGAAAACGGAAATGAGCTGGATTGGATCTCAAGAAGAAATGGTTCATTGTTTGGCATTCTTTAAATGCTGGAATAATTACGCAATTATGGGCACTTCTCATATATTTAAATAATGCAAATCCTCAAGCTGTGGTGATTAGAAGATGTCATTCTTGTTCATTCCTGTCTTGCTGGTTTCAAAGCACAAAAGGAAAGGGGAATGAAAGATCCCTATAGAGCCCCCCTCCCAGATTCTGGAGTTGGAGTGGGAATAGAGCAGGGTTATATCTTGATGTTTATTTTACGATTTATGTAAAAACATAAACTTCAAACATTTCTTTAGGACCAAAAAAGTCATTTTGATTTTGTGTGTGGACCAGGAGCCTGGTAGTGGAACTACCCTGATTTGTGTAGATACAGATGCAAGTTATTAAAACTTGGACTTTCAAAACTAGACCTATTTCTCTCCCAAAGTTAAGAAACATTGGAGTTACCTACTCGCAGCCTCTCCGCTTCTCCTCT